TTTATTTGTGTATAAAAGATATTATTTAACAATACTCTTTTCTGTATGAGGAATTAGGAATATTTCTGAAGAAGAGTTTTGATTTTAATGATTTTATTTTTAATGATTTAATAGAAATTAATTTCGATTAATTATTATTCAAAATTATTCAAGAATGTCTACAAAATATATAGGTATTTTGTATTCATGCTAGTTTCAGCTAATCATTTCCAATTCAAATTGTTCCATACATAAACACACATGGGTACTGTGGATCAAATCTATAAATTTAGCTATTATAAGTACATCCATTAAAACAAGCCATGAGAAATAACCGCTTTCTATTTTGACCAAATAATCATACCCACATATCTTGTTGACTTTTGATGTAATTTATAACCCGAAAATAGATATCTACATATAAGACTTTATATGTATATAATTTTTTGCTTGTATGGTTTAGTCATATTTTTATTTGTATGACCTCATATTAACATTATAATTATAATCAGTTTCTTCTTTTCATAGTAGCAAATACCAGCTATATGCATAAATATTTTTAAATTTTTTAGTAAGGAAAATATATAATTTACAAGGAAAATTAATTTATTTTTATTCAAAATATTAGCCATCGACTTTTAAACATTTCACCTATCTTCCATATAATTTGTAAATACTAATCAAAAATAAATGCTTAAATTTTACGGCAAGCCATTTTCCAACTTTTCGTCGAGCCATTTTCCAACTTCCTCAAAATTGCTGAAGTGCTAATCTGTTAGCAGATACCACGTTAATCCGAAGAGATGATAATCAGATCTAGGAAGTGCGACAGTTCTAGCAGGATGTCATCAAAGTTATTTGAAGATGTCATTTACAGGTTTTCTGTGTGAAATGTCGCATTGTCGTCTAACAAAATCACTTTGCCCATATCTTCTGGCTATTAAGGTCTTCTTTTGATCACTGCGTGATTTAAATTAATCCTTTGTTGGCGAGAACGTTGTGCATTATCGGACATCAAGAATTCATAATACACAATACCGATCTCTTCCCACAAGGAATGGTTTTCTTACCCAAATGCTTGGAACTTGGTATTCAAGGATCGTGTGCGCCAGGTAGAAGCCACGATTTTCCTTCCACAAACCATGGTCTACTTACCGATTTGCTTAGACCTTAGTATTGAAGAATCAGGTAAAGAATCAGGTGAAAGAATCGCCAGGTGAAAGCCACGATTTTTTCCGCTTCGGGTTTTCAAAACACATCCATTTTACGTCATCCGTCACAATTCGTTACAAAAACAATTTTCTTTCGTCCCATTGAAATAGTACTTCACAAGAATCAAGAGCTATGTGTTTATAGTTTAATGTCATGTGAACAAAATGACGTGTGTTAATTTATAACACTGCGTACTTTTCACTAATTAATCTTTTCTTAATATCTAATAGGAGTTAATATAATAATATAATAGAGATTAATATTAGAGATCATGTAATCTAATCTCTGATATATTAATCTAATCTCTCAGTTAATCTTTAGAAAAAACTTATGTATACACCTGATATTGAAATTTTTAATAAAAAAACAGTTTAGTTAAGATAAATCAAATATGATTGAGAGTTATTTTGATTGTTATCCATCAGAGATTTTACATAAAAAATATTCTTATTAATACTCTTATTAAAATTAATTGTTTAAAGGAGTTTGTAACAAAGATGAAAGATATTATTTTATAAGATATACTTGTGAAAATGAAATAATAATTAAAAACAATTATTTATATAATATTGCAATAAATGAATATGTTAAATAAATTTTGCATTGTTGAATACTCCTTTCTGCATGCGAACAGACTCTTTATTCGCAATCGTTGCCTTGGCTGCGGACACAAAATTGCCTGCGATGAGCTCGTGATGAGAACCCTCGAAAACGTTTTCCATTTAAAATGTTTCGCGTGCGTCGTCTGTGGAGCGCTACTGAAAAAGGGCGAGCAGTACGTCGTGAAACAGGGCCAATTATTCTGTCGTTTCGATTACGAAAAGGAAGTAGAAATGCTGCAAGGATATGGTAAGTACCATAAAAAACTGCAGAAATACAATAAAAATATTCAGATACGTTAAAAATCGAAAAATTTTATTCCCATATAAACAACATGTTGGAGTGAAGTTTTTTGAATCGAAACCGCTGAAGTGAAATTTTTCAAATATTTCACTTAAAATATTCTTACATTCTATTCATAAAAATGTAACTATAAATAAAAAATAATATATAGATATATTTCCTAGTAAAAAAAAAATCAAAATAAATTTGTTAAATATTTTTTGAAAAAAAGAACTCACATACGTACTTACAAAAAGTTGATTTTGTTCAACTTTTACTCAAAAAATTTTTATGAAAAAATTCCAACAGATTTCTATGGTGATGACTTATTTCCGCCAAAAATGGATGGGCGTCGCGGTCCAAAACGTCCACGTACAATACTCAACACACAGCAGCGTCGTGCATTTAAAGCTTCCTTTGAATTGTCGCCGAAACCCTGCCGCAAAGTTAGAGAGAATCTTGCTAAGGAGACTGGTTTAAGTTTAAGGATTGTTCAAGTAAGAAAATCCTTGTGTATGAAACAAAATGATTTCATTATTTTTTTAATTTTTCATAATTTTCAATTAAATCGCACTCAACAGGTTTGGTTTCAAAATCAACGCGCCAAAGTGAAGAAAATTCAGAAGAAGGCCAAACAGGAGCACACCAAGGGTACAAGTGATTCGCAGGACTCACAGGAATCTGACAGCAGTTTAGCTAAAATCAAGGATGAGGCGCATAGTGATAATGAGTCGTTGTTGGAGTCACCGTTCTCATCCTGTGGTGCAGGTGGTGGTTCGAGTTCAGATGGTGCTGCAAAACTGCGATGCATAAAAGATGAAAATGAAAATGCGCCTTTCAATTGCATGGAAACAAATAAAGGTGCGTTCTTAATTAAATACAACATCAATAAAGCAATATTTAATTAAAATGTTATTTTTAAATATATAAATACAAAAACTATTTTAAGTGAATGTGATGGTATAATATATCATATCATATAAATAAATATAATATATAAGTGGTAGTCATATAGGATGTATTAATACTATTAGGTCATATGTATTATAATAATTGATCACAAATTTTACTTTAGTTTAGAATGTTAATGTCGTGAAATATTTGATTATCAATTATGAAAAAGCAAATTTTAGATAGTATCCATGGGCTTGTACTGATTGCATAGACATATTATGAAAATGATATTATAAAGTTTCTTGATTCTGATAAATATAATAGCTGTAATTATGGAATTGATCTCAAATAATAAACTGCTATAGGGGATTTGAATATTGTACCTTTTTGTTATGGTATAGGTGTTTTGTAAAAAATTATACATATACAATTAAAATTATATATACTTTAATTTCTTAAAAAAGGCAAACCATTTATTTATTTTAATCACACTATGATAATGAACTCTGTTAGAAAGGAGGACTTCTTATCAAAAGATGCTTCTACTCTTGAATTATACCTAATGTCTGGTTACGGTGCTAGTACTTTTTGATTATTGCAAAAACCAAAAAAAGTAACAACCCCGTATATAAAGGTCTTTGAGTTTCAAACCTTCCCAAAATATTTTAAAAAAATTAACACTAAGTACAATGGATTTTTTAAAGGAAATGTTTTCGTATAAAGTTGGCATAAATTTTCATAGCCATATTACCACCCTTCCAAAGCTTCTTAAATTAATATTTGTATATATTAACAAACTTAACTAATCATATGGCTGGAAGACTCAAAACTTCCCAATCAAAGTATATAATACAGCGTTGCCATCATTCCCCACAACAACTACTTTCTTAATAATTTTTGACTTCTTTTTGTTATTATTTCTTGCTTTGATCACTTAGAAAGGGAGACTTCAATTAATTTTTGAGTTAATCAGTTTTAGCTCATAATTGAATGATACCCAGGCAAACTTATTAAATACGCACCATCACATTTCCGAGCTTGTAGAGCTTGATTCTTTTTCCCCATATAGTTTCCAGACAATATTGTTGTATATGATCCATTTTTCATAACCTATTACCATATACTTCAAAAGTGGCTCCGTTTTGTATCGTTTACATAATTTTTCGAATATATTTTTTTTTCTCTAAATTCATGAAGCACTCTAACATCAGTAACCATATTGTACGTTTTTTTCGTCCATAGCAATGTCAGTACTTATAAGCCGATGTTCTTCAACTCTCATTCCAATTTTATCAACTTTTTCAATAATATCAAATTTTTTTTATAATCAGCTCTCCCGAGTTTTAGGTTCTACAGCAATGTTGGAACTTATAAGCCGATATTCTTTAAATCTTATCCACAATTTTTTATAGACTTTTCAGTGAAAAAGTCATAATCAAAAATAAGAAAAATATATCAATCTGTTTTTTTAAATCAGCTTTTACAAGTTTTAGATCTATAGCGCTGTCAGGACGTATTCAATAACAGAGCGATCAAAGCAAACGATATTTATTATTTTCTAATTTCTAAACCATTAACTAAGTGGCAGCTATATGTTTACGAGAGAGTTTGTGTGCTTTTATAATTACAAATATTTAAATAAATCGCCACAGCATATTTTCGACCATTACCATATAGTCAAATTGTAAGATATATCAAATTTACGAAATTTCACTCCATTTTGTTTTGTAATAGTTTTTGATTGAAAGCACCGATTTAATTAAAACTATTACCAAGAGTTCCCAGACAACAAACTATTTCACAAATATGATATTTTGTAGTTAATTTATATAATACAAATACTGGTGTGCATATATAGTATATACTGGTGTGTATATTACTATATACTAGATGTGCTAAAATGTTTTAAGTCTTACACAGTTCCATAAAATTATTTTATAATCTTCATATACCTTATAATCCAGCCTTAAATTGCAAATCACTGGAGGAATTGTGTCATATGCAAACCTATGTATATACTGTGTTTCATTAATACATTTAACTAGCTATCATTTATATAAAAATTTATATTTCCTATTAATTGTTAAAAAAATTGGTTTAAATTATTTGAAATATCTTCAAACATCTTACAAATAATTAGTAAATAGCAACATTAGAACATTAATGTTTAATATTTATAAAATATCTTTTTCAATTATACTTTTAGAAAACTGCAATAAAACAAACGAACCGATATTGAACACCATTTTAGGCTTAAGCTATGCAACGTTCCAGCAACTTATGGGTCCGTTCACCCAAACACCAACAATCAATCCAATCGATAGATTATATAGTATGCAAAACTCATATTTTAGACCGGAGGAGATGAACTATAACGACTGTGGCAAGGAAGTCGGTGAAAATTGAACAAAAAATTTTAATACATTTTTTAGTTCTAAGAAGGAAAGATGAAGGCGGAAAGAAGGAAGCAGTTAAAAGTTAAAGAAATGATCAAATCAAAATTAGTCTTTGTAAATTTCAATTTAGTTTTAAATGTTATTAATTTAGTGAATGAAAATATTTATTTTAAGCTTAAATAATGCCAAAGAAAATATATAAAAAACGAATAAATAAATTCATAATTAAATATTAATAAGTTCTTAATAAGAATTTTATTCTAAATATGGGTCACAAAATCTACTTGAACACTGGAAATCTCAATCAGGCAAACGGCAGTCCAGATGGTTCATTGCAAAAACGTTGTACAGGACGCTATAGACTCAATTACCACATGAAGAATATAATTGCGGTAGAAAGCGATTCCTGTCGACTCTTTCATGATGAGAAGGAACGGTTAGAAAATGTTCCATGCAACTGCCCACCGGCGACAAGACGTAGACTTTACTACCTTGAAAGCGGAGTCTTAGTCCCAATCATATAGTTAAAATGAAGCACTACAGCAATTAAGAGATTGCAGGTGCACAATAATATTTTTAGGTCGGGCTGCATTCATAGCCTGTTATTTAATAATAATACCATATGAAATACTTAGTATATATGTGAGCTCCAGCTATAAGCAATTGAAATCCATGTGTGTAAGATAATTAGCAAAAACGAAATCCCTCGACAGTTTTGACAATTGTTGACAGTATACAATGCACACATCCATTAGATTAGATTTCACTTTTAAAACTAAAATTTAACTTAACTGACATTTATCTTCTTTTTGCAGGTGTTGAAGAGAAATCGTCGTACTCAAAGCAGATATTTAGTTTCAAAAACAAAAACAACAAATTCAAATGGCCAAAAACTTTTTAGCACGAGCTGTGTTTGTTAGCAACAAATTAGTCACATTTGACAAAATTTTACGTAGTCCTTATTATCCTTGAAGTAACAAAATTACTTGGAATACGCATGAAATGAATAATATGAGCGAAAAATTTGGATTCGTCATGCATTGTTCACCGGCGACAATTGTTGACGCTGTCCTGTTCGCTGCTCTGATGATTGTACGCGTGAAAGCAGAACAAAAACAAGGACGAAAGGAATTATCAGCAACACTTGTGCACTTCGATACGGATTTGTCCTTGCTGACAAAGAGAATATGTCAGCGATGCAGTCAGCTAAGCGACCCCAAAAAAGTCGTGAACTTTTGAAGCAGGATAATTCGAAGAGCGACACAAAGTCTTTGTGGAATTGAAAACAATTTCAATTGTACTGAAAATGAAAAGCGATGAAAGCGATAAAAGCGTTGCAAAATAGATTAACTAGAAATGCTACTGAGCTCTTTTTAAGCTCATACTGCATTCAAATTACGTTTTGGAAGAAGAATTTTAGGAAACTGGGTGCTTTTTAAAGAAATTTAAAGCCACAAATAATTTCTAATGGTTTTCCATAATATCGTATATTGAATATATACATTGGCTGATTTAGATATTAAAATTTCTGTAAATATTATGAATCAGTACAATTCTATATACAGTATGTAATATTACTTAAATTGTCAATAACATTGAGGTGAGCTTAGTTTATTATAGTAACCCATCACTATATCCCATCTAACTATTAATAATGCTATAGTGAGTATACGTAAAAGTATACGTACAGGCAATTCAAAAGTCTGGGAGAGATTTTGGTATAAGTAAATCTAAATATCTTTAGAAAATTCGAATCAGTGCAAATTGCACATGAAATGCAAATTTGTTTCAAATTTGACTGCAATAACGACACCTAAAGCTGATTAAAAAAATTTCAGGAGATCCAAATCAGAGGGAATGACAACACAAAATTCTAGTATAGAAATTGGTAGACGCAGTCGATATTAATATCTTCAAAAAATTCAAATCAGTGCAAACTGAAACTAAAACGTCTAAAAACATCCAGAGCTGATCAAACAAATTTAAGGAAATTCAAATCAGAGTGAGCGACACAAAGTATCGTCGTTTTTCGAAGATTACATCATTTGTAATAAGGATTTCTATTCACATTAAGTCGAACATGCATTTGAAGTGGTGACATTTTTCAACTACGACATTAATTGTAGCATCGAATATTGAAACAGATAACGAAATGTGTGGATGGTTGCTGAAGTCCAACAAAATCTTCTACAGTCTGCCGAATTTATTTAAATTGAAGAACCTTATCATTTCATCCAAGCCACAGCAATATAAAACAATGTCCTTCTCAATATTTACGCAAGAATCTAAAATTTGGGTACTTAGCAGAAAATATTCGGACTTCTATGGAGAATTGTTGGTACCATATGGAAAGAAGGGCGATTCCGGAAATGCTACATACACGAATTGTATGTGATTTACCTTGAAACAGACTTATTCACACAGACAAAGCTCGGTGTATACCGATAAATGAATCCTATAAGTCATGTGAGTAGAGACGAGCCTGTTCAGAAAATCAATTGTAGTAGATTTAATAGTAATTGACAGAGAAATAGAGTATATCTACTTTGGGATTACTTTGGAATAGTGTGCTTAATTTAATAGTCGTAATCGGAGTCGGTGACAAAACTTGTAGAAGGGGGCCATGATGAGATGCTAGTTGTAATATCGATGATAATGATGTTAACTATTAAGTATGCAAGAAATATTGTTTGATTAAACTTGTTTGTGTCTATTGGGAGCATATTGCACGTTTCTATAAATTTCGTAACAAATTTTAATGCCATGGTAGATTATCATTTTGAAATATAAATCTTTGATTCGTGTCCAATGAACTTCCCTCTATTTAATATGACTTTTACTAAGAAATTATTTTATTTTAGATTTTTAATATCAAACTCGACTTTTTTAACTTTTATGGTACACCTTTATAAACTTTAATTTTTCTTTTTTTAATATCATTGATATTATTAGTACTATAACGAACTAAAGGACGATATGAAATAAAGCTGTATATATCAAAATATGTATATTATCTTTTTTTTTAATGTTTAGCAAAACATTTTTTTTTTTTGGTTGCAATATCAGTATTTATCAATTATATGCTAAAGCAGATATATATTCAAAGCGCACATGTGATGCCCAGTACATAGGATGGACGTTAAATAGCTAACAAATGGTAAGCAAAGGAAAAGAAGGAAAAGAAACATAAAGAGGAGTTTCTTTTAGACGGTTAGTTCTTGACCTTAAATGTTAGAACCAATAAAGAATATAATAAAAATTTTTTTTAATTACATTTGTTATATTAAAATTTAGTCATACAAATCTGTGTTACATTCTGACATATATAGGTTTATACACATCATATAAATAATTTCTAATAACAAAATGATATTCATATTATGGCTCATGCTCTCAATAGCTTTTATAAATACATTGTATGTAATACACCTGCATGATATTAGTAGCACTGATTGCACATTGCGCACCCTGTACAATTCACTTGTTATAAATTTCTTCAACTACATGCAAATGTTCTTACACAAAAAATAGTAACGCCTTTAGGCAATTTGTCACAATATGTGTCACATTAGTTACAGTAATTGCGATGCTCGGTAACAAGATTATACCTCAAAAGTACAAAATCGGCAATAAAAATAGTTAAACATCTAAGGACATAAGTTTTGCCGCCTGATTACCCAACAAATACGTACATTTTCTGCGATTTTTGTATACGGATCTGTTACTCACTATAAAATTGGAAATTCTATTTTATTTAGGGTGAAATTTGACGACGACGATGATTACTTCGCTTAAGGGATAAATAAGGGATGTCCTTGTATGACGTTTAACAGAGCAACTCACAACTCAATGGACGAAAATAAAATACCTAAAATCATTTAATCAGGGTGAGCAGAGGAAGCCAACATCAATTAGTTGTGCACCAAATACAAGGAAGAGAGGACTTCCCTAGCAGAAATCATTAATCAAATTTTGAATAAATAAAAAAGTAAAGTGATTCCTTACTGTAAACTCGAAAAAGGACCCTATTAAGTTTGAAAGTGCACCACAAACTCTTTTTTTAAATACTTCTTTTTCATTCGTACATAAATTAAGTATTTTTGTTTGCTGATCCTTCCATTTTTTGTTTGTTTTCTGCATTGTTGGTCAATGTATGTCCTGTAAGCATTTTTTCACATTTTTGCAATTCCATTTAAACAACAACAACAAATTTTTCAGTGTTTAAAATTTTTTTTAATTTTTTTTTATGAAGAACACGAAGGATGTCCGCCTTTAAAAAATGCGTGTAAATTATATAATTAATTACCGTTTTATCGCCGCATTTGTATGCACATCACGTTGCCACACTTGTTCCATTGCATGACACTGCAATTTTAAGCGACTAAATGGGGTGTTCACGTCCGCCGACAGCTACTGACATCCTCGCCATGGTCCTTTCGTTTTGTTCCTTTGTTCGTAAACAAAAATTTTACAGAAACTGGAACACGTGGTTTCACTGTTTATAGAGCAAAGACAAAGGCAAAAAAGAATTGAATTTAATTTGCATAAATCAATTTTTTTAAATAGATTCTGCGGCTGCTTTGTGTAATGGCTTATATACGTATATAACATATATAAATATATGTTAACAAAAAAAATATATAAAAAAATTATTCAAAAAAATATTTTTTATTGCAAAATGAATATACTTAACATATATCGAAACTTTTGTATCAAATAGTTTTATTGAATAAATTTATTTTATACTACCATTCATAAAAACCTGTGATAAATAATTGTTATTTTTTTAATAATTTTTTTTATATGAAAATGTTTTATTTTAATCAATCAATTTGTTTACCGTTTGTTCCATTCAAATCATACAAAATTTCCAAAGTCCTAAAAAATCTTATCGATGCTCAGTGATTTGTTAGAAATACAGATTGAAACTGCAGATACAGTGATTTAAAAGTTTACGGTAAAGCACCAAGAACGGTTACAACAAAACAAAGTCCTAAGAAATCTAGTCGATGCTCTGTAATTTGTTAAGAATATAGACTTCCATCGGGACTTAAAAATTGGCGGTAAAGCAATAGGAACGGTTACACGAAAACAGAGTCCTAAGA